GGGATCTTGCCAGCCCCACGTCAGTTTTAATATGGACAGTGGCATTGATTCTCTTCATGGGCTAGAGTCTCCATTGCAGAAGTCCTCAAAAAATAATCTCTTCTATTTATCGTGGTGCCTAAATTGCCAGAACTAGTACAGAGTATGTACTAAATCACCAGGCTTTAGGACCTTGAATTGTTCCTTGCTCTCACAGAAAGAAAATGAACAAACTCTGTTCGACTTTGAAATGGAAGGCTTTTGAAGAAAAACAAGACAAATTTTATACACATTTTCCCCTTAGAACCTACTATGAAAAATGCTTGCAAATCTTTATTTTACAGTAGAAAATGTCCCTCAGAGTAATCTTTCCTGAAATCGTGGAGTGGGTGACATTTGTTGTCAGGTGTGTATCATTTCTACTCTACCCTTGCTTTCTCTTTGCCATGCTACCCACACATTCATTTCTGCCCAAACCTGTCTTGTTTTCTCCATTTGTGTACCTCTCTAAAGCCTGCCCCCCCCCCCTCTCTCCTTTTACTTTTTAGAAAAAACATGGATTTGTTTACTTGGTAGGAGGGGTCACATGTGTAGAAATCAGAGGAAATTTTTCAGGAGTCCATTCTCCTTTATCATATGGGGGTTGGGAATTAAACTCAGGTCATTATGTTAGTAAATAGAGATCTTACTCATTGGAGCACCCGACCCACCCTTCCCTGCTTTCCCTCAGGCTACTGTGTCCCTTCAATCATGAGCCAGATATATATGGCTCCATTCATTTTCTACTGGAGTTCATTCATCACCACAAATTTGAGCATAATGGTGATTCCAAATCATCATCCTAAAAGCATTTTTGGTGTGGAGGGAAGCTATGTGGCTTGCAGAAAATATTTTCAATTGAAAAGTGGTGAAGTTCATTCAATTCTTTATTCAGTCATAACCTACTCCACTCCTACGTGACACCCAATATAAAAGCACCATAAAAAGAGAACAATATGGCACTCAAACTCTTAGGCATCTTTCTTTACTCTTTCTTGTATGCATGCCATTGTTGGGTTGATTCAGATAAGTGAAGGGTTCTATGAACATTGTGTCCAACATCAAGCTTCCTAGAGATATTTTAGGAGAGAATGTTATTCTAGCTTCTATTGCACGTGGATGGTTTCATCTAAGCTTTGGCTAGGCAGATGGGTTAGTCAATAAATTCATTGCCTTTCAAGTATTAGGACTTTCATTTAATCACTGAACAGAAGTAAAATACTAGAATGAGAGGTGAGGCATGTGTCTATAACCCTAGCGTTGGGGAGACAGAGACAGACATATTCCTAGACCTGCTGGTCAACTAGGCTAGCACACTCTATAACCTTCACTGTAGAATTAAGATGAACTAAGCCTGAAGATCAGTACTTATCCTTGTGACTTCACATGTATACACACACACACACTCACACGAGGCTGAGATTGATGATAGGAAAGCTTTAGCTTTCCCCTCAGATTCCTACTATGTCAGTTAAAATGAAGATTCAATGACTCAAAACACTTTGAAAATACAGGATGAGCTAAGCCAGATGAATGCAAATGAATCACAGTATAGGAAAAAGCACTAGAGTCACAGGCCACTTGGGAAGGTAGAGTTAAACAAGAAGAAGGGTAGGAGAGAGCAATGAGGGTGAATATGAACCAATATGAAATCTTGAAATGATAAATAAAATAAACTGTTATACAGCATGATACTAGCATAAACACCCTTTATTCTAAGAAGCTCTACCAACAGCCTTAATATATTGAGTTTCAGACTTCAAATTTGTACTGCTGTTCTATCCAGGAATGAACAAAATGAGAGACTGGAATTATCCTCATCGGTATCTCCATGTGTCACCTAGTATAAAAAGTGCAAATCCTACAAGGAGGGAAATGCTCCATTTTCTATGCTCCAGGTTCTCAGATATCAGTTTCAATTAAATATGCAAGTATGTGTTTGTTCATGTGTATGTCAGCAAACAGATATGCACACTCACACACATTCCTGCACACACACACACACACACACACACACACACACACACACACACACACCATACACAGAATAAAGAAGCTGCCAGAGGACAGATTTACAACTAGAGTCAGACATTGGGTCTAGCAGAGACACCATATTTGATACAGTTATCAACTTGCTTTACAAACAGACAGAAACCAAGAAGAAACAAGTAAGGACAATGGATTTTCTTAATTACTAGTTTTACTGGTGATACAATAGAATTTTAGTTTTAAAAACAAAAAGAAAAATTATCAATAAAATGACTCACATATTATGTCAGTTATAAGTAATCACACCTGAGGGAATTAAAACATAAGGAGAATAAAGGTAAAGAAAAACTCATCCCAAAATGACTCCATGGCTAAACTGCTTACTGTGCAAATCTAATAAGCCTGAAGAAGCACTCAGTGGCATCACCCATATTACCCTCCTTACACACAGACAAACACACACCAAAAATTATGATCAAAAATTAAAAGTGTTTTATATTCTTTGAATTCATACTGTTTTGATAGTATTTGATGTTTTTAAAATATGTGAGGGTGAAAATAGAAAGTCCAAGAATTATCAAATTCAGACCTCAAAGATTTGAATACATAAAATGTAAAAGATGCAATAGTTGGTATATTGAAAACTTGAGAGTTAATACATACAAATTAATACTGCATGTGACTAGATACAAAGATACATAGGAACTAATTGGTAGACTTAGAAAGTATAAAAATATTTGAAATATAATACCCTTTAGCTCTCTAGGCAAAAGATCTTCCAAGACTCAAGGTAAGATAAATACCTTGCTTCAGATAAAAATTTATAATTCAGGGACTTTAAGACAGAAAAATATATATCAAAAAGATTTGGCTCATAAAAGAGAAAAGTGACAATTTTTGCCAAGCAGAAATGTCTAAGATTCAGGAAATAGGAAATTAAAACTTACCAGATATGCATTAGTGAACCAGAACAAACAACTTCAAAACAACATTTTTATTATTACAATATTATTATTATTAGGCATATGGGGTAGGGTAAGAAATTGCCCATTCAGAAGACATTCATGCTGACTGAGTTATCTGTCTCTCACTTGGGTAAGTGAAATCAACATTTTCTAGACTAATTGTACATTCACATTATGCTCTGGAAATGTTATATTCTCGATCATCTGGAAGACTAGAGAAACAAAAGATCATTTCTGGTCCTATCTAAGTTATTCCACTGTTAGCAAAACACATTTTCTATACGAATTTTTCATAGAATGATTCCTTTGCCTTGCAAATCTATATTCTGTATGAGTTAAAGCAGCTCCTAGACTCATGTTGGGGATTACTAAGCAAATAAGCATTCCATATTCCTCAATAAGACCCCCAGAATTTATAAGAATTCATTCCAAAAAGTGCTATCGAGACTCAGAGATGAGGGCTGAAAAAATTTCACAAGAGAGCGATTTCTTGAGTTGTTCATTCTTGCTAGAGATACCCAAAGTTGTAAATGTTTTCTTAATCTTACTGAGACCAATAGAACCACAGAAACCATGATAGAAACACACACACACACACAAAAATAGTTGAATTTCTGGGAAATAAGGGGTCAAGCAGAAGTCCAAATGTACACAATATTTCAAAATCTGAAAAAGACTTGCATTTGCTAATTTGTACAACATAGATTTCCAGATTATATAGAGAGAAAAAAAAAGAAAAAGAAAAAGAAACTGGAGCTAGCTTCTTAAAGATCTGAATTTCAATCCCCCAAACCCATGTAAAGTCAGCCTCAAGGGTAGATAGATCTGAAATTCCAATGCTTTTACAAAATGATGGGAGGAAAAGATAGAATCCCTGGAAACTAATAATCTAGAATCCTCTACACTTGTGCACAAAGCACAGAACCAAAGATCCTATCTCAAAGAAGGTAGAACAGTCAACATTCATGTTGTTGAACACCTAAAGCATCCCATGCTACATCCTTGTCCACAGCCACACATGTAAATGGGCATAAATCACATATTATACATGTACACATGAACAATACACAAAATTAAACTTTACTGTGTGTTCTACACAAGATAATACAAGCTTAAAAAAAACTAAAACAAAAAGATGGATCAAACTGTGACCAAACCAAAGGCTTCTTATCTACATTAATTGTAAACAAAATAAATTTAAGATCTAAAAGTCATTGTTAAAGATAGAATATTGTTTAAAATATTCATTTTTTTCAGGAGAGTATGAAAAGTTCAGTGCTGAAGATGCAATAAATATTCTCAAACAGAAAGTGAAATTTCACAAAACCTGTATGAGAACAAGAGGAGAACCCACTTTTCTTTCTTTCTTTTTTTTCTTTCTTTTTTTGAATTTTCGAGACAGGGTTTCCTATAGCTTTTTGGTTCCTGTTCTGGAATTAGCTCTTGTAGACCAGGCTGGCCTCGAACTCACAGAGATCGCCTGCCTCTGCCTCCTCCCGAGTGCTGGGATTAAAGGTGTGAGCCACCACCGCTCGGCTGAGAACCCACTTTTCTAATGTGAAGTTTCAATCCTCATTCTTCATTTATCTCAGTTTCCTACTTTATTTAAGGAAATTCAAGTATGTGTGAGTACACAGACACACATCCACACACACACACACACACACACACACACACACATATGGAAATTCAAGTAAAAGTTGACTTTCTAGAAAAATAGTTAATGAATATAAAATTTAAATTAAAATGTTATTTTACTTTATTACCTGATTACTTTTCTCCCTGATTACTAACAATTAACCAACAAAACAATTACCATAAATAATGAACCAATAATGATTAACTAGTGTTCTAATAAAGTAGACATGAACGGTTTTCTGCACCATTGCCACATGTGTACCTGCTTATATCCTGCTTCAAAGACAATAGATGGGTGCAATGTCTGCAGTTTCTGACCACAGCAACAGAGACTACTCAGTCATTAATTTTAACAACATCCACCATAAAGTATAGGAAAGAGAAACAGACCTGTGACTTTGCCTAGAACAAGCGACCTTGCTGTTCTGAACTCAACTTCTGGGGAGAAGCTATAGCTGAAGAGTTGTTGGTCCACCTGTAGGAAAACAAAACAACACCATGCATGAGCCCAGGTTTTTATAAGGCGTAAAGCAAAACTTTTGTTAAAAAGTTTACAGTCTCACACAATTCTGTTCAGGGGTTTTCTTTCAAGGGAGATTTGAAGTGTCATGGAACTTGTTCCACAAAACAAACAAAGTACCCTTTCTTTCTTCCTTGTAAAATAAGATCTTTTTATAGATTTCTATTTCCTTGGAGAGCCTACAGACCTATTGTCAAGTATTTATCTCCCTACTGAGAAGTTTTCACCCAATTTTTCAATGACAGCAAGTAAACAGAGAAGCCCATCTACTCCCTGCAATGGCACAATAAATGGAGCCCAATATATTCACTTATTCCTCCCCTTTTATTCCTATAGCCACCACCTCTTTCTTTTCTGAGCTAACCCTGACCTGTTCTTGGGTGTGGACTGTAGGGCTTCCTATTCACTAAACATAGTTTGGTAAATACTCGAGGAAAGCTGCACATATTGTTACCAATAAGAGAGACAACTGATTATGTCACATTGGAGGCTCAACAGAAGTCACTGCTGGATTCTCCAGGGCTTTATTTTTAGGGTCCTCTGACTTCACATACCACTGATTCTGGCTTTTTCCCATTCTCTTTCTCCTTTTGGGCTACACCACAAATATATTCTCATTTTTCTCCATCTAGTCAAAGCCAATAGATTCTTCCAATCTCTATTACTTTGGTGAAGAGTGTACATCTATGTACATAAAAGTCAGGGGACAACCCCAGGTGCCATTTCTCAGGTGTCTTTCACTTTTTGTCTGAGACAGAATCTTCTTTTGGTCTAGAACTTCATCAAATAGGCTAGGGTACCTGGCTAGCAAGCTCCCAGGGATCAACCTGTCTCTATCTCTTCTCTTAACATCTCAGAGTTTACAAGTATGTGCTTGTCATCTCTTCTAGGTTGTTATAATGTTTCTGGGATCTGAACTGAGTTCTCCTACTGACAAGGCAAATGCTTCATCAACTGAACCCTGACTCCTGTCCTCCAATCTCCACTCTGAACTTCTATATTATTCTATCCACATCATTTCCTAATACATATGCTAGAAAGAAAGACAGACAGTAATACAATGTGGTGAACGAGTTTGCTTTACTTAAGGAAAATCAAACGGATCAGGACTAATATCTAAGCTATCTACCCAATTCGTCATCTTATCACTTTCTTTCTATACACATCTGCTAAGAGTGAATCTCTTCGGGAACCTCCTGACCTTGCCATTTATCCTGTGACTTTAGTACAAACTATGATCCATAATATGTGAATTAATACTACATTCTGCTCTGTGAATTAGACCATAATATTTCTTATTTAGTAAAAAAATATGAAACTTGATATAAATGCATACTTCCAAATGTCTTTCTCCTTACAATGCTGTAACATAGATCAACCTAGTGACAGATAACTCACAAAGATGAATAAGTTAGCCAAGCCACACATTATTGTATTAACAGTTGTCTGTGGCCATGTAATTTCAGGAACTTGGAATCCCTCTCTATGTCTCCAAGTACCCAGACTTGTCTACCTATCCATGAAAAGGCAATTTGAAAATTCAAATTAGGATTATGGGGACAGTGAAGAGTCTTGTGATATTGGTGGTTGAGTGCATTGATAAGCACCTGTTCTTTCTCTCTGACAGGTAGGCGGCATTCCAGAAATGTTCCTTACTGCCTGAGCAGAGACTAAGGATATACCAGGGACCTGCTTTTTGCTCTTGCTTTGTTTGTTTGTTTACTCTAAACAGCTTTTTCCAGATGAAAAGAAAGAAATATAGATTTGATTGAGAGGGGGTAAGGATGATCCAAAAGACAAACATGCTGCCTTCCTGAACCAATAAATTGACCTAAGGATAAACATATGAAGTCTCTGCTCTAGTCTTTTCTGCTGCCCTCAGCACTTTACAAATAGCAAGAGGCTGCTTATTATTGACTATCAATTGATTGGTGAAAATACGTAGACCGAGAAGGCAAACACATACATCTTACTGCTCTCTCTGTGTTCTACTTCCCTGTTTTTTTATTTGTGAAGAGCACAGAAAATAAAACGGTGCTAAAAATGTTATATGTGAAATGCTCTACAGGACATGCCACAGTTTTCCATCAAGGCTTCATTAAAAGTATAAACAAACAAAGCTTGTATGGATAGCTCAGTCAGTGAAGTGTTTGCCATATGGATCTAAGAACCCGAGTTTGATCCATATAACCCATGTAAAATATCAGGTGTGGTGCAATGTATTTGTCATCCCAGGGCTTGGGAGGAAAAGTCAAAGAGACCTCTTGAGCTTGCAGGAGAGCCAACACAACCTCCTTTCTAGATTTCTAGACCAATAGGAGCCCTTGTATCAAAAAAAAAAAAAAAAGAAAAGAAAAGAAAAAAACCTTGAGGAGGAACTGTGCCTCCTCAGTAATGAGACCTGAGGTTGTCCTCTGACCTCTACATGGTACCTACACACAGTACACAAGCAGGAAGTTACCATTACTATTTCTACCATTTACAGTTCAACAACAACATTCTCAATCCAAACAAGCTCAAAGGTGTGACCCTCTACTCATTTCAGGAATATTGTAACTGGTAATAATTTACTTTCTGAAGGTATAGGAATTATTCGCATGAAACATTCAATAATTATTCCTAAACATACATCTAATTAGAGTAACTAGTAATCATTCTTCCTCACAAAGTCCACATTAAAATGGACTCCATTTCTGCTCACTAGTAACCCTTGAAACTCTCTCCATGGTCCCCTATGAAATGTTTCAAGGACATAGAATCTTCCTGGATTATTTTGGTCTCGTGGTACTCAAGGTGCTCTAAAGCATATCTTTCCATGCACGATCATAGATAATTCAAAAATGAAGACTAGACCCAGTATACCCCCAAGCTTAAAACCAAAACTCATCCCACTTGTCTTAGTTTAGTAATAAACTTGAAACAGCCCAGAATCACCTGGAAAAGTCTTAAAGAGAGACTGCCTATATTGCATTGACCGGTGGGCATGTCTGTAAGGAATAATCTTAAATTAATTGATGTGAGAAGACCCATCCCATTGTGAGCAGCCCTATTTTCTAATCAGGGAGCCCTAAACTGTATGACATTAAAGAAATTAAGCTAACACAAGCAAACAAGTGGTCATAGATACATTCATTTCTCTTTGCTCTTGAAAGCTGAAGGGACTATTTTTTTATTTCTGCCACCCTGACTTTGCTCTAATGGTGGACTGTAACGTAGAATTAAGAGCAAAACTAAATCCTTTTTGCCTATAGTTGGGTTTTGTCAGAATATTTATCATGGCAACAGCCATGAAGCTAGAACATCTCCCCTTTTCCACAAGGTCACATCTATTTTAATTACACAGCTCCTGCAGCCATGTGGAATTCAGCTATTTTGTTCACAAATGTTCACTGAGGACCTAGTGCAAGGGACTGCTAGGTAAAGAACAAGCTTGGCAATAACAAATGCAAACTAAGTTTCTGGTTTTACCACACTTACATTCTAGAGTTCTAGCAGAGGGGTACTGAATATAAAGCAAATAAATACATTATATTCCCTATTAGATAACATGAGTTCCTAAGAGAAAGCAATAAAATGAGTCACTATATGGTAAAATCAAAGGAATAGGTTACAGGACATCAGGAAAGGTCTAGATAAATATAGACACTGCTATATTGAGAAATTTATACCATTAAAAAGCACCTAATTGACAGGGCAGTGGTGGTGCACTTGAGAGGCAAAGGCAGAAGCAGGCAGAACTCTTTGAGTTCAAGACCAGCCTGGTCTACAAGAGCTAGTTCTAAGACAGCCAGAGCTGCTGCACAGAGAAACCTTGTCTCAAGAAAGTACATAACTGAATTACATAACTATAGATACAAAACTGCAGGAAGTCTAGCAGAATCCTGTGTGCACAAATGGTTAGGAATGATAGAAGAGATAACAGAAGACTCACAAAGAGACAGCAGAGATTGACTTATGGTGCAGAAAAAACCTCACGGACTGATAAAAAAATATGTGTAAGTCAAGACCCAAAGGATGGGGGGCAATCTCTGCTTCAGATGTCAGCAAGACAAAGGCTGGCATGCCCCCCATGGTGGGTAGCACCTTTGTCAATTGGAGGAAAGCTTGGGTCTAGGAAACCATGGAGTTGCCCTGGTCTAGTTGCTATGAAAGGCATGCAATATAGTAATGGGGGGATTAGAGTCATTGACTCCTGGAGTACTGGGTGCCTTCTGTTCCTGGGAAAGTGATACACCCCTCAGGCAGTGAAGCCTTCAGGCCTCTTTATGTTTCTCTGTATTTTTTCCTTTGAAGTCAAGAAAGTGTGAAAGCTTAACAGGACATTAATCACATGTATCCTGTATAGCATGGAAATGTCATTGAATCCTGGTTAGCACAACTGTATTGATCCTGGCAATTGCAACTATATTCTGTAGAAGTGGTTTCGGGCAGGCCTGCTTTTTGTCCCACCTGGCTCCTGCATGGCTAGATTTACACCCAAAATAATAACACACAAACTGTATTCATTTAAATGCCTCCTGGCCCATTAGTTTCAGTCACTTATTGGCTAATTCTCACATCTTGATTAACCCATTTCTAATAATCTGTGGAGCACCATGAGGTGATAGCTTACCGGGAAAGATTTAGCATGTCTGACCTGGTGGCTGGCTCCATAGCATCTGACCTAGAGAGGAGAGGCATGACGATTGCCTCACTTCCCTCTTCTTCCCAGCATTCTGTTCTGTCTACTCCACCCACCTAAAGGCTGGCCTATCAAATGGCCAAGGCAATTTCTTTATTAACAAATAAAATCAACACAAAACAGAAGACCGTCCCACATCAATATTCTGTTCCTGACAAGGGTCTAAAGAGTCTGATTTCTCTCAATAAAATTGTCACAGGTTCAGTCTATCTGGGGCTCCTCCAAACCAAGTATGGTTTTATGCCTTGACAGCCATATCAGGTAATCCTGGCTTGGTAAGAACGTGTGGGCATTTACACCTAGGGATGTAATATATTACATCTTACAGGAAAGTTCATTAAGCTTAATAAGTAACTAACTCAAAGGCTTCAGGAAGGCCCTGAAACTGACCAGATACACTAGGACTAGGCCCATAGTTCCCCAAAATGAGTTGCTTGATCTGACTTCAAGTTGTACAGTGCATCCCAGGTTTCCAGCTTTAGTGAGTTGCCACCTATGCTAAATTGAATTGTAGTCATGTTTTTAAATCACTTCTGTTCCTGTAAACACTCATCTACACCCCTGTTTGTAATCTCAATAAAACTTAGTGGTTCATTGATTTGGAATTAGAGACATCCTAATCTTGGTTTGTTGTTTATTCTCTGTATGGAGTGTGTAGACATTTGTTCATACTTCTATTGAAATATTTCACACAGCACTTAACTATTGGGCTCTGCAAATACAATTTCATTCATATTTTGAACAGTACAATTTTGAGTAATCTGGTGGGACTATGGGGAAGGAAAGCAAAATAATTAATTTTGATTGTCAGCTACATGAAATTTAGAATTATCATGGAAATAAACTTCTAGGCATATCTTTGGTCAAGTTTCTAGATTGGATTAATTGAAACAGAAAGACCCATCTCAAAAAAGTATCACCACTACATAAAACTGGGCTAAAAAGAAGAAAGTGAGCTAACACCTTCATTCGTCTCTGCTCCCATACTGAGGACAGAATGTGACCAGCTGCCTCATATGCCTGGCACAATAACAGAATGTACTTTCCAATTTCAAACCAGAATCATGTTTCTTAGGCATTTTGTCACAACAAAGAACAAAGTAACTAAATCAGAAGTTACACTTTGGAAATTGGAGTATATTAAGTTTTCCAAGGAATTTGAAAATAAAATGTTAAAATTCTGGAAAAAAAATGGAATTCTTCCCTTGATCCAGAGAGATCTTGGTTGACTTGTTTGTTTTCTTGTTTCTAATGCATTCAATAATTACATAGTTTGTGTTTCAGGGAGCTATTAGTGGAGTTGGAAAGGTGGGAAAACAGGAGGTTGTAGAAGCTATGCTTGTTAGACAGGCATGAGAGCTGACTCACACAGGCAGTTGGGCAGGCCTTAAACCTTTGAGACATTCAGCACTCAAATGTCATGGGAGGAATAGAGCCCTCATGTCCAGGTAGGAGGAGATGGGGCAGGAGGAGCTAGGCTAATGAAATTGTGTGATATGTCTTATAAAGAATACACTGTTTGCAGAGAAAGAGAGCAAAGTCATCTTCTAAGAGGGCAGATTTCACTTCATCTGTTGCTTGTAAGGAAAGAAGGAGAACATTTGAAGTGACAATTGTAGAGAACATATATGAATGGATTAAACTCACCAATGCAAAATGGTGATTGCTAAGCTGATGAACACTCTCCCTTGAGGTTATGATGAAAGAGGGCTCATCCAGACTTTGGCTGAACTTTATATTCAGCTATGCCCTGCTCTTCTTTTGACTCTTTGTACAGAGTCACTAATCTTTCAGAGAAGCCTTCCATACTGTTTCCTTAGATAGCTATGCCTGTGATTATACAAATCATTTTTTCTTTATTTTATTGATTTTTTGAGCTCTACATTTTTTTCTCTGCTCCCCTCCCTGCCTCTATCCTCCCCTTCAACCCTCTCCCATGGTCTCCACGTTCCCAGTTTACTCAGAAGATCTTGTCTTTTTCTACTTCCCATGTAGATTAGATCTATGTATATCTCTATTAGGGTCCTCATTGTTATTTAGGTTCTCTTGGATTGTGATTTGTGGGATAGTTTTCTTTGATATATGTTTTAAAACCACTTATGAGTGAGTACATGTGATAATGGTCTTTCTGGGTCTGTGTTACCTTACTCAAAAATGATATTTTCTCGCTCCATCCATTTTTGCCTGCAAAATTCCAAATGTCATTAAATTTTCTGCTCTGTACTACTCCACTGTGTAAATGTATCACATTTTCCTCATCCATTCTTCAGTTGGGGGACATGTAGGTTTTTTCTAGGCTATAGCAAACAATGTTGCAGTGAACATAGTCAAGTACATGTCCTTGGGGCATGGTTGAGCATCCTTTGGATATATATACAAAAGTGGTATTACTCGGTCTTGAGGAAGGTTGTTTCCTAATTTTCTGAGAAATCACCACACTAATGCCCAAAGGGGCTGTACCAGCTTGCATTTCCCCTGGCAATTCAGTAGTCTTCCCTTTACCCCACAACCTCTCCAGCATAAGTTGCATCACTTGAGAACTTTCTCTGTCTTCTTTTTGCCAGCCAGCTCTTCCTTGTTGTCAATACCCACTTTGTACTAGGAAGTGAGTAGTGATGCATAGAGGAGACCTGTTCCTTCCTGAGGGTTTCCACAACACCTGTGTCCTCCACTGTTCCCACCTGTACCCTATGCCAATTCCCATGTAGCCCTTGCTGGAGTCTTCTGTACTTTCCTCTTTGCAAGCAACCCTTCATAGCTCAATATGGTTAAGACATAATTAAACGAGCACAACCAGAATCGACAGTGCTTCCTCTTCCTCTCAAGTAGTTTCTGATGGAATAACTCTGGTGAGGATTCAAAAACTTACATTTCTATCTATTTCCCAATTGATCACAGTACCAGTGAGAAGAAGGAGCATGTCTCAGGGATTGACTGGAGTCTAAGGCAACTCTATACTACAGTATGTGGCTGGGGATAGAAGCTCAGACATGTGTGAGGGAGAAGCCTTGGTATGCAAGCTGAGTAAAAAAACGAGAAGTGAAATACCTGAACAGAAAGCTCAGGCCCCTCGCGGCTAATCTTCACCTGATGCACCCTTTTGTTGGCCAAGTTCTCTGTGCTGATGGTGAACACATGACTTTCTTCCTTGGTGAGCCGATAGCGAACTTGTAAACTTCCTTGAAAGCAAAAAAGTAGGAGAAGATTAGAATTAAGAATAGCAAGCACATGTTCTCCCTCCTTCTGCTCCTCATTGGGACCTTGGGAGCTCAGTCCAGTGCTCCAGTGTGGGTCTCTGTCTCTATCTCCATCCATCACCAGATGAAGTTTCTGTGGTGATATGCAAGATATTCGTCAGTATTGCTATAGGATAGGGTCATTTCAGGTTCCCTATCCTCAGCTGCCCAAGGAACTAACTGGGGACATCGCCTTGGGCTCCTGGGAGCCACTCTAGGTTCAAGTCTCTTGCCAACCCTAAGGTGGCTCCCTTAACTAAGAATTGTGCTTCCATGCTCCCCTATCCAACCTTCCTTTATCCCAATCATCCTCTTTCCCCAAGTTCCCCCCATCCTCCCCTTCTCACTTTTCTCTCTCCATCTCCCCTTACCCCCATCCCACCCCACCCCCAAGATCCCAATTTTCTCCCCGGCAATTTTGTCTACTTCCCATAGCAAAGAGGATAACTATATGTTTTTCCTTTGGTTCACCTTCTTACTTAGCTTCTTTAGGTTCACCAATTGTAGACTCCATGACCCTTATTTATGGCTAGAAACCAATTATGAGTGAGTACATCCCATGTTCATCTTTTGGGGTCTGGGTTACCTCACTCAGTATAGTGTTTTCTATTTCCATCCATTTGCATAGGGACCACGAGGGTTGCACCCACCCACTGAGACAGTGGGGCTGATCTATTGGGAACTCACCAAGGCCAGCTGAACTGTGACTGAAAAAGCATGGGATAAAACCGGACTCTTTGAACATGGCGAACAATGAGGGCTGATGAGAAGCCAAGGACAATGGCACGGGCTTTTGATCCTACTTAATGTGCTGGCTTTGTGGGAGCCTAGCCAGTTTGTATGTTCACCTTCCTAGATATGGACGGATGGGAGAAGACCTTGGATTTTCCACAGGGTAGGGAACCCTGACTGCTCTTTGGACTGGTGAGGGAGAGGGAGAGGAGTGGGGGCAGGGGGAGAAGGGTGGGAGGAGGGGGAGAAGGGTGGGAGGAGGGGAAGGGAAATGGGAGGCTGTGAGGAGGCAGAAACTTGTTTTTTTTTCCTTTTCTTAATAAAAAAAAATTCAAAAAAAAAGAATAGCAAGCACAACACAGAAAAATGGGATTAAATTGTTCATGAGTTATTTGTTTCTGTTTTCTGGGTCTCAATGACTTAGCACTAAAGATTTTTAAAATTCATAAATTCATCAGAGTTGAAATATAAACTTCTGAATATCTCTACTAAACAAAATGAGTGTGTCTCTGTGTTGTTCTTCTTTATTCTATATGTACTATTTTAAATTAAAAGTCTAATTTGAGATCATCATGGTGGTGTAGAGCTATAATTTCAGCATTTATGAGGTGGAGACATGAAGATTGGGATTTCAGGACAGCTGGGTTACAGAGTGAGATCCTGCCTCACAAGAGCAGCTAGAAAGAAGGAGAAAGGGGATAAGGAGAAAGAAAGAAACAAAGAAAGAAAGAAAGAAAGGAAGAAAGAAAGAAAGAAAGAAAGGGAGAAGGGGAGAAGGGGGAGGACAGAGGAAGTAAGAGGAGCACTTTGGCAAGCACAGCCACAGACCACTTTTGTAACTGGAATATGAAAACATGAGCATGACTTGATTATTCTCATGGCATGGTTCTCTCAAAGTCACCTTCCTCCTTCTGAGGTTGAGGAAGAAGAAACTTACCTGTTTCCATCCATTGATGTGTAATGTAATGTTTCCAGTTTAAGTATGGTCTCATTAAGGCTCGTTGGCCAACCTAAACCTTCATGACAAAAGTCAAATTTTGCCAGGAGAGTGTTTTTCAAGTAAATTTTCACTATCCCTGGGGTCAGGAAATCAATCCACTGATCCTCAGAGGTACAAAACAGATGGAAAATAAATGGAATTTAGGAAGTATATGAAGGTATATGAAAGGTGTATGAAGGACTTTCCTCCTTGCCTTTTTTCCATGGGAGGGGAAAGGAGAGGATTGGGGGAGTGAGGAAGACAAAGTGTTGCAGCATAAATGGAATGGCTACTTTAGTGTGATTTCCATTTTCAATGGGAAAGCTACTCTACATGGAAAAAGTGATGTGGAAGACAAACATTCACTGGCTTCTTTATCCCAGACATGTTTTCCCATTTCTCCTCTTCAACATGGCTAATGGCCTCAATTGCTCTGTCCACTCTGAGGGTTCATGAGCACTGTATGTACAGTTGGGGTCTTCCTCAGACACCAGAAGTTCTCTCCCGTAGTACACACAGGAGCACAAAATGCTGGGAGCAAAGTACAGTATCATATTCTGAGAGCATTATGGAGAAAAGTACATTTACTCAAATTTGGGCTAAGAAGTATGATTCTAATCCATACCTTCACATTTTCCCGTTGCTTTTATCTTCCTCAACAGACTCATTTTTCTTATTGCGGTCAACCATAGGAAAACAACAGGGCTTGTGTTCAAGACTGATATTCTTGGTCACCATGCCAGTGCTTGCATACTCTTTGCCTTTCTCTGCCTCTTTCTATGACTGTTAATATTCATTGTCTCTCTCTTCCCTTGGGTTCTCTATCACCACACTCCTTTCTCAAGCCTACACAATGGTAAACACTTTAGATTTACAGTCCCAAAGGTAGCAAACTGTCAAAGGGAATGTACTATCAATATAACAAACCAAAGAATAGGCTAAGTGCCAGGTCAGAAGCACACTGAGAGCAATGCATCATACCGCATTTTTCCCACTTGGTCTCGTTTTTCTCTCTAGTATACATTAGTAGTGTTGTGCATAAATGGGATACTTTTTCTGTATGAATTTGGGCAGAGATTTGCTGGTTATAATATGGAAATTAAAAATAAAAATGATTTTTGGGATGCAGTTATCTCCTTCTTTCCACATATGTTCCTTAAATAAATATTTGTAATAGAATGCACTCTGGTCCCCAGCAAGTACTGCATAAAATTTTAGTGGGTTCTTTTAATGTTGATACACTCAAATATATATATATATATATATATATATATATATATATATATATATATATGAGCCAAATCTATACCTTTATTTCTTTCTGCACATGAGAACTATACAACAGTTATTATCAATACTGCTTAAAAAATAACAATTGGACCTAGTGAGATATCTTAGCAGGCAGCAGTGCTTGACTATTTGCATTCCATCCTTGGGTTCCATGCATAAGAAGGGGAGAATTGGCTCTGAAAACTTGTTTTCTGATTTCTACACACACAGCATGGCACACTGTGCACTCATACAGAAACATACAATGAATATATTAGTATAAAAAACTCTTTCATTGAAAATAGTAGTGTGAAACTTACACAAAAACAAACAAACAAAAAAAACCCTAGAATTAAACGTGGTGATGAGGATCCTTTTTCAAAAGAATCACATTCACATTTTTAAAAATGCCCTTGTCAAGCTGAACAGAATTACATTGCTTGACTTACTAAGCAAATTCATTATGATTGAGTTCCTGCCTTCCATGTTCATCTAGAAAGTTCTTTTTCTTAATTTTACAGTTAAAAGAAAGCAAATGAAAGTTTTAGAAATTGAAGAACTTCTTAATGTATTTATTTAATAGATTTTAGAGTCAGGTGTAGAAACTATAGCTAGGTGGTTACAAACAATGGTTGCAGGTTTCCTTTAGAATGCCATAGCCCCAGTTAGCTAGTCATCCCTTCCTAAAGGGGTCTTTAGTGAGAAGTTTTCACATTAGGTTCCTTTCCACTATCCTTCAGAATTCAGCATGATGCTTCTCTTGGGAAACAACCTGGATTCTGTAAGCTCTGAGGCCTGTCCATCATTATCCTAGCTTACACTGTGTGATATTGATCATAATCTGCACTCTCTAGAAGTCAGGACATAGCGTGTGTGTGTGTGTGTGTGCGTGCGTGTGTTTGTGTGATGTTAATTTGTATTCATATATAGTGTGCATATCCATTTTTGCACCTGTAGAAGCTAAAGGTCAATACTGAGCCTTTCCTGGTTCATCCCCACCTAACTTTTGAAATGGGGTCTCTCACTGGTTAACCAAGAGCTCACTGACTGGTTAGACTGGGTGGTGACGGAGCCCTGTAAAGCCTCATATCTCCACATTCTCAGTACTGCAGGTTTTACATGAACACTGGAGATCCAAGTTCAGGTCCTCATGCTTGCATAGCAAGCAATTTATTGGTCAGGCCATCTCTTCAGTCCACTTAGTTCCATATTCTATATCTTCCTGAAGTGTGTATCTTTAAAATGTTTTTAATCTAGTTGAAACAGACTAAAACAACAGTCCTTCCTGGTGCTATGACATACCTGGCAGGGATGAGCTATGTAACTCCATATCAGATATGTTTACCTTGAATTAGGAAGTGAAAAATCAGGGCTGAGGATGTATGTTGCTGGTAAAGCACTTGATTCCCACAGGTAAGATTCTGCCTGGATTGGATACTCATCCATGCAAGCACAAAATACAAGCAAACAAACAAAGCTAACCAATGTCTATTATAGTTTGAGCACTTTGTTTGGTGGTACCATTATTCATTTATTTATTTTTTGCTCATGTTAGAATCCATATATATATATATATATATATATATATATATATATGGATTCAAGTCCTTCCTGCGTTTCTCACCAGTGTTGTCACCCATAGGTTCCACATTCATGACCTACTGCTCTCCATAAAATCAACCGTGAAGCTGCGTTTCACCCACACACTTTAAAGTAGCCTGGAAGACATTTACTCCGAGTGCTTGTGACATCTGAATGAGTCACTTTGGTTGCTGTCACACCTCTCCGTCTTTCACATTTGTGTAATTTTATACCACATATTCAAATAAGTATGCAACCTGTGAAGCAACATCGCTGTTTCAATTGTTTTAGTAGCTCCCCAATGTCCGTAGATTGAGCCAAACTTGGACATGGTTAAAAGACACTGTGTTATCTTTTACCATTTCCCTTAAACTTAGTTCAC